ATCTGAAATCCAGGAGGGGCCGAGCTATAGAGACAGTGACTGCATTGATGGTTTCTTGGGGGACATGTCAGAGTATGTTGGGGGGAGGTGGGGAGCTGATGACAATTATTACAAGAAAGAAGTAAATGTTGAAAAATGGATGGTGGCGATGATCGTACAGCTCTTTAATATGATTGCACTATTGAATTGTATGATATGTGTTATGTCTATGCCAATAAAACACTTAAAATGTGGTAACCTGGGTGAACAGGGACCCAATGTACAACAGGAGGGAGGCTTGAGGGGAAAAAATGGAGGTGGTTATCAGGAGCAGAAGTGTGGACAGACACGTAGGCCGCTGAGCGGGTGTGGGAGGGTTAGGGGAGGCGGCGGCGTGGAGGTAGGAAACACAGGGCAGGGGTGGGATAAGCCGAGTCGCTTGGATGAGATGAAGCAAAACGTGGTGGAAATGTGGACTGTACTCACTAACCCACTGTCATTAGTCAATTTGAGTTTCTGAGGCTTCTAAGGCAGGCTTATCTTTCCCCCAGTGAGCAGCTGCTGGGTTTGAACCGTCAACCTGGCGGTTAGCAGTTCTGTGCTTACGTGGCAATGCCACCAGGGTTCGTGTCCCCAAGTTGCAATAAAAATTAAAATACGTATAACCAAACCAAACTCATGGCCCCGAAGGCAATTCTGGCTCACAGCGACCCTCTAGGACAGGGTGGGTCTGCCCCTGTGGGTTTCCAAGACTATAACTCTCCAGGAGCAGAAAGCCTCTTCTTTCCCGGGAGGAGCGGCTGGTGGTTTCAAACTGCTGCCCTTGTGGTTAGTAGCTCCACATGTAATCCATCATGCCACCAGTGCTGGACAAAAAAACCCCACATATATATGCATATATAATCTTCATAATATATAACACATAAAATATATATATTCGTTATTTGTATATTCATGATTTTTGAAGAGGGGGTTCAGTGGGAGCCCCAGGCAGGGGCGTTTCTCCAGCTGGCGATGAGGGAGAGCACCAAGTCTGGCTCGCTTGCCACCTTCCCAGCTTTAAGTGCCAGAGGGGAAGGAACCCCACCCCCACCCC